AATTTCATATTATGAAGATTCTTTAGAGCTTTATTTAATTCTTTGTCTATTTTGTGCTCAAATTTTGTAATCTCATTTTTGCTTTGCTTAGTTAAAATTAAAGAATATACTGATCAATTGTTTCTTTGAAACACACGTAATAACTCTTGTCTAGTCAAGAAGCATAGTTGTCTACCCTTAAGCCGCTATGTCAACACAGCTGCAGTTGACAGAGCTCACCTGAAGCAAGCAACTGCGTCACATGTGTCTTTGCTTTGACAAAGAATGGCCATTCCTCATTCACACCTCTCAGCTTCGTTCTAGATATCTCATTGAATCCATTTACTTGTTCTTGCAGGTACTATGCAGAGACATACTCCAGAGAAAGGGCTGCAGAACGATCCAGAAGCCGAGACAGGGAACGGGAACGAGAATATAGAGAACGCAGCCGTGAAGACAGGTGAGAGAATGATCAAACCTAAGCATTCCGAGTTGTTACATGTTAAGGGAACGAGGTTTAAGTTCGGGAAAGAAGTTGTCGTCCAGGAATACTCAAGAAAATGGGTCGTAGTGTCCAGGAAAATAAATGCGCAGTGGATTTTCATGTTTCTGGGATGCGACATTATATTTATAGAAAATTGTTAGGAATAACTAAATGTAGCGTCCAATACCTTCTCAAATTTGAACTAGAGGTGTGATCTTAGGTGTGGTACCCAGAAGTTTGGCTCTAGCTACTTGCTTGATTTCTTCTGTTTTTTGTTGTTTTCTTTTCTCTTTTCTTTCTGGCGAGGGGGTAGCTGTTTTAACCACCAGCTTAATGTGCATATTTTTTTCTTTTACAGTTCTACTCGTCAATCGGTCCGTGCCCGTGCTAAGTCTCCAGAAGTCCCTGATGCTGGACCTATTGTCAGCTCCAAATCAAGGTGGGCATTTCTCAGATTTCATTCCTTATCTACAGCTTCACTATTTTAAATTATCAATAAACTTAAAAGAGCTTAAAATTTATTTGAAAACTAATCGATTCTACACATTATTTTTGTAAAACCTTCTTTTATTCTTTTTTTTTTTTTCAATTGGTTGGATTCTTTAGATAATGTTGAAGCATAGCACTGTTTATGGTGTAATATTAAACATGAGTTCTCCTTTTTCTTTATTTCAGATATTATGATGAACGTTATAGAGAGAGAGATCGTGAACGTGAGCGAGAAAGAGAGAGAGATCCCACTGCAAGGAGAGAGCCTGAACGTGAGAGAGAGCGGGATAGAGAAAGACGGGAGGAAAGAGAGTCTTCTCACCGAAGCTCTACCCGCCATTAATGCCACATTCCAAATTAATTTGAGCTATTTTGTGGCCCTTAAACTGTCTTGTTTCCTTTTTGTACCATCTTCCCATTTTTTCTTCTGTGCCCATCAAAATTTGTTTAATTTCAAATTTTCTTGGCATAGTGTATTGACAAGGTTACAACATTCAACGCTGGTGGCAACTCTTAGGTGATTAAGTATTAACTGAGTAATTTTTAAGAGCATGATATCAAGGACTTCAACTCAACTTGCAACTCCACTTGCATCATGAAGGGAAGAGGAGCATCTCTTTGCAACTTCAAGATGCATGGATCTCAACAATCCTTCACAGCATTCAACCAACACCCTTTGTTCTTGAAGAAGGAAGAATGTTATTTTAACAGATAGCTGGCTTAGTTAGTGGTAGTACTTGTAGATTCAATTATATAATTATCTTATTTCAATGAATTTGTGTACATCAGGTTTTCTGGTACTTCAGTCACTTGGCTGTAGACACTTTTTAATTTTATGACTGCAAACTTTTATGTAGGATTGCACTTTTATGAGTTACTTCTTTATTTTGCCTAGCCAGCTTATCTGCTGTGTATTGTACTGTATGCTGTAATAATTAAAATGTGGAAAACAGGGTTTGTTTCATTACTGTAGTATCCCTGCAATGTCCTGCTACAAACATTGTTTTAGTTTTATTTTGGTGGGTGAAGTGTATGAATTGAATGGTCTTATTTCAAGGTAGGCTGCTCCTAAAGTCCTTAAATATTTAACTTCATGAAATGTTTTTCCAACCCATTCTCAACTTGATCTTGTGTTCTGAAATGCTGCAGTAGCTGTTCAAATTTATAACCTGTTTAAAAGTTATGTCCTTGTCCTCTTTAATTCATACATGGCTGTGAATGTGTGCTTGTGCAGTTTTGTGTGCTTTTCAAATGCAGCTACTGATCTGAACTTTTCAAAACTTGGTTCTCTGTATACTTGTTGCTCTTGCCAATGACAGAAATTTGAATACTCATGTCGCTAAAATTTCTTAACAAATGTGATGGTTTTTTAAATTTTAAGAACAATCATCCGTTTTTTGTTGCATTTTTAATTTACATTTTTTTTTCCTTAAGTTTTGGAAATTTGTTTTTATCTGACCTGGTGAACTTTTATCAAAGATATTTTGTTTATTTCTTTTGAGGTCATACTTTTCCACCAGTTCTTGGTGCTCTTCAAATTGTAGGATTTCAATTTTCCTTGCTGTTATTTTCTTTGTTTTTATGGTTTGATGTTTCTCTTTAGTGGTTTTAAAGAACACTTGAATGCACACTTTCATGAAGGCAGAGAATATGTTAAACAGAACCTTACTGATTAGCACAATAGTCTCTTTAATTTTACCCTGTACAGTTCAAGTTATATGTTCCATTCAGTAGTCCCTTTTAATTTTTATGTCCAGTCACTGGTAATGTGACCCTTGACTGATCAACTAACACACACCATTGCATACATGACTGGCATTGCATTGCCCAAGGTTATTCTATCGCACTCATTGTTAGCAATTTTAAGTTACAATGTCTAGTGTTCATTACAACAGTACTCATGTCCTTATTTGTGTGTTGGGAACAAATTTTAACAGGGAGGATTCCCTTGAACTCGCTGTGATACCATAACTCTTGCTGCATCAATTTTAATCCCATATTGGGCAAACCTATAAGAATTGAACAATTGAGGTAGACTACTTTGAGGGGCAATATACCCTTCATTTGCCTTGCAAATATTTTTTGTAGGTATGTTTTACTGTTTGAGAATACTTTTTAAAAAGATTTCAAACTGGTCATCCAAACTGAAAGTTCAGACGATTGTTGAAATTAATTTCTTTGGTGAAATAAGTGTTCAAAATTGAATTGTTTTAAAGTGTGTCTTTGTGTAGAGAGAGTATTGGAGAAAAGAATTAGATAATTTTAATTTTCAAATTTATTGAGAAAAATCAAGAAGTGCTTCAAAATTTGTGCCTAGGTATTAAAACTTTATACCATAAAATTTTCTCACTGTTTCCATGGCACTGTTTGTCGTGGAGTCAGTCTGCTTATGTTATATGATATATAAAAAAGCAAACAGTTTGGTACATAATTATTACAGGTATATTGAAGAACATTAGAGCCATACTGAGATGGATGAGAGGATTGATAAATTGGATATCTCCTTCCAGTGTGTTAAAAGGAAAGCAGGTATGTATACTAAATGTTTAGAAGTTTTTGTACTTCTTTAAGTGATTGGCAATTGTGGTTGATACTATGTCAGAATTACATTTTAATGTGCTTTATTTTCTTATCAGAGTTGTATATTGTGTTACTGTTTCCATTCATTTTGATCAGTGACATTCTAAAAGGATAGAAGCCCCTTGCAAAGTATAACCACTCTTATTGGCTCTCACTTTCCTTCCTTGGTATCTTTTGACCAGAAATTGTATGAAGGGAAGGAAGGAGGCTTTTGTTTAAATGTTTAATTCTTTCATGTCTTTTTCTGTACTTTTGAAATGATTCAAATTTTTTTGGATCCAGCTAAGATACATCTTCAGTGTTCTGTGAAGTGTTGTCACTGTTATTCGCAGATCTAATCATGTTACCATTTCTCCTCTGATCTATGAGACTATATCTCCTTCGAAATCAGACATTTTGAAGCTCAGTTTTCACAGTTATATTATTTTATTGTTGTAAATCGTGACATTATGTTGCAAATTTAAATTTTCAGTGATCTTTTATTCACAACTAATATACACAATTACAATGAAATTCAAGCTACTCATGCATGGTTCTTGTAAACAACCTTTTTGCCATGCATCAATGGAAGACCCTTCTGAAGATTGTCTATTTTGACATTCAGGTTTCAAAATAAGAACTTTTCCTTGCAAGGTTTTATAAATGTTCATCCAGTTGCAGGAAAACCCTCATATTTTAAAGTCTTAGTTAATCCGGCATTGGCCTTTTCCCTTTGTCACTGATGCTGGATAAATTTGGACTTCAGAATATGGAATGTATAAAACTTGACTGTCAAAATGAACGATTTACAGGAGGTTTTTGAACATTTATTAGTTTTTGATTTGTAATGGGTGTATTGCATGTGCACAAATGGTGCACAAGACTAAAAACTTCTTAAGGAAGTGACAATTTCTCTTATCAATGTCCAGTTATCCCTTTCTGTCCAGTGATGTTCATTAACTCATTTTTCTTAAAAGCTATCTACCATATTTATTCGATTCTAGGTTTTTTCCTTGATTTTGAGACTCAAGTTGGGGTGCGGTTTAGAATCAAATACACCGCTAGCAGGGGTCTTATGAAAATCTTTCTTGCGAGTCTTCTGCCAAATTTGGGGTGCGGTCTAAAATCGCGTGAGACTTAGAATCGAATAAATACTGTAGTTAAAAACAGAACTTGCGTGGATTGGTAAAGATGTTTCTGTCTTGGTGTTTTCATTAGGTGTGAGCTGTGCTGGTAACCCTCATCTCTACATTTTTATTCAGTCAAATTTTCCCCCAGTTTTGTTTTTGAAATTTTATCCTCTAGTTTTGATTTAATTTACCTGTAGCTTTATTTTTGTAAGTTGTGATTTATTTTTTTATGTACTCATGATGCATGGAGTGATTTTCCACAATTTCTGAGGAAACATTGGTTAAAACAATTTAGGAGAACCGAAACCTTTCTTTGATAGCTACCGTGCCTTTTTAAGAAGAAGTTAATGTCTTCTTTTTTTTGTGGGGGGAGTAAGAAGCCTTGTGTTTATAGAAAAAAAAAATAGAGACACTCCTTATTGACTTACAAAGGAAGATATGATAAATGCTACCTTAATATTGTACATGTTGCTGCTCTGCTTTATCAGTTGAAACGTGAACAAGTGTTGGCTTGGAAAAAGGCGTAAAGCAGTTGGTGTATTTTCTGCCCTTACTCTATTGCTCTCTAGTGCCGAAAATGTTATCTCATAGCTCCTTTCCTTTTCGTTTAAAGCACCCATTTGGTTACTGCTAAACCAAGCCCAAGCTACCTGAAATACTACCAACTGTTGTAAAACATTGTTTAAAATGGCAAGGTGTGGGTGTATTTTCAGATGTTGTCAGGGTTTTGTTGAAACTTTCTTGTACCCATGTGCAGTATAAAATACCTAATCTCCCTAATTCTCCCCAAATCGAAAGCTAAATTTATTTGTTAAATGCAGGTTGTCACCTCTGTTTTGGTCAAACTAACAATGTATGCATTGAGACATACTCAATGACTATTTAGAGGCTTCAAGTGGAATTATTGGAGCTTATTGGATACAAAAGATTGAATTCAGCACTAAATTTTCAAAAGAAAGAATAATTCTTTGTCAGTGTTCACTCTCAACTTTCTCAAATATTTGGCATGAACTGGTGAAAACTGGTACTGTATTTACCACGGTCCATAACTCTGGACTCGGTAATCACTGGATAATCCGCTAGTGCTATCTTCTTCAAATTGTACCATACTTGTTGGCCTCTATTTAAAATGCATTTCAATTTCAAATGTGCCCTGAATTGTTTTAATATAATTTCTATAATATGTCACATTGAGTATGAAAACAATATTTGAAGACTATCTAAAATTGACAAGCCAATTTTGTTTGTAGGGAAGTAATTGTTGCGTTCAATATTCATCTACCTTTCCTGAGCGTGTGGAATTTGCATTGTTACACATCTTAAACTTTGAATTGGGTTCTTGTTAAGTGTAGTTCATTGTAAAGGTATGGTATCATGTCTGTTAAGGACTTGGTTCTACAAGGCTGGTGAAAAGTAACTCTGCCACTGTTTAGTTCTCCTAGTCTTCAATTAATAATATAGCGCTGTTTCTGTTACAGTTTCTTCAATGGAGAGCAGTAGGTAAGTAGCAAATTGGCTTCTTAGCTTGGGTCTTCAGTTGCAAATATTCCAGTTATTATATAGGACACATGCTGCTGAGCACTTATGTGAATTTTGTATCAGACGTTTTCGTAGTTCAGTCTTGACAAATCATTAGTAAAATTGGGTTCCAGGAAAGACAGTCCAAACTGATTTAAGTAGCTGTAATTATTTAATTTTTTACCATGAAATAAAGATTTGAAAAAGTAGTGAGTTTTATAAATTAACATCCATTCCTTCAAGGCCTAAAACTTCGCCTCTGCCATAAACAATATATCACAGGTTAATTAATAATAAATCTCTACACACAAACATACCAAATTCAAGTACCTATGTTTTTCTGAATTTTTTCTAACAATAGTTCCATTCGCCCAGCCATAACAGGCTGACCCTTCTTTGTTTTCTTCTTTAACTTCATGTACTTCCTAATTTTATCCTTCTTGTATTTTTGTAAGGCATCTTCACGCTCCACCTTCTCTTTAGCCCTTTCAGCAATAAGGAGCTCTTTCTCTTTTTTCCGTCTCTCCAACTCTTGTTTAGCTTTCTCATATGGATTGCTTTCCCTGTAAATACACACCAAAATAACACAATTATGAAAACATTAACCCTGGGTGGGCAGTAAATGTTGAAGACATGCAATTCACACACCGATGCAATTTCTTCGAATCCCCTCCAGACACACTCGATTCTTGTTTGCGGTGGGAAACATCAACCTGTGATTTCTTCAGCTCTTTGTAATATTTGTGAAGGGCTGCCTTACGACGTCTTTCTTCAAACTGTTGCACTGAAAACAAATTTCACAAAAAAGTTATATTTGATGAGTTTTTAGGTACACAATGTACCGCTGCATTAACCTCTACAGAAAGGTGTGACAGACGCTAGTATAATAAGACGAAATATACCCTTAGTTTTATGGCTGTACTTCTTCTGTCTCCATTGAGACTTATCAAAGGTTTTTTTGGTATCGGAAAACTCAGAGTCCATCGCTGACGTGGATAACCTGGATAAATGTATAAATAAACAAAACCTCCGTACGCAAGTGAGCAAGAGCAGCAAAAGGCGTGATGTGGTGCAAATAGTTACTGTAGTGCCTATCCAAAGTTAGTTCCCCCTCCACTTTTCTGATTGGACACACTTCCGGTTGGTGCGGAGTCTTCTTTTTTCTCTTCTCCGCGAGAATCTACATTATTCACCCTCGCACGCAAGTATTCCCACAAGTTTGTTGATTGTTTATTTATTTAGTCAGGTAGTCTGCAAAGGTTTGCACGTCTCTTTCTACAGACAGCCGTTTAGGAATCAGGAATTAGCAAAGTTTCAAATGGATAAAGTAAAAGAATCCCTGAAGAAGTACACATTATCTGTTGAAAAGCTTTGTTTGTTGTGGGAAGGATTAGCAAAGCGAGCAACCAAGTCAATGTGCGAAATAGAGACTTTATCAGAACAGCTCTTAGCTGCGACAAAGTAAGCATGTTAACCCAATGCATGGTGAAAAGGTATCTGATCTGTTCAGTAGCATCCATACTTTATTTGTGATAACATTTTCCTACAGCATTTCTGGGGATGCCCCGATGATATGTGAACAGTTTCCAGATTTACATACACATTTAATTTACCAAATATTCGTGGCTCTTGAAAAAGAGTTGGAATTACTGAACTGTATAGTGTAAGTATGTGATCGTGCCAACGTTACTTTAGAAAACCAATTTCATTTTGTAACTATCTTACTTGCTCTTATTTTCACAGTCATGAAGTTGGAGAAAATACTGACAGTCTAAATAAATTGGCATTGCAAATACAATGTATGAGAATATGTACAGATTATGTACCACCTTTATCAATAAGTATGATAATGGAGTATATCTCTGACAGCACACAATATTTTAGAGCCCAGTATCCTTCCTTCGCTGAAAATAAGGAACAAATGTTTTTTTTACTTTCTATTCAATTTTTATTTCCTTGACTCTAATTCAGATATGCTACTCTGAAAATTGCTCTTTTGTCATTGGATTTCAGAGATGGTCTTTCTGTTAAAAATTTGCGTAATGCATTTTTTGAACCCAGTGATTTAAAAGCACACATCCAGTGTAAGTTGCATTATGTGATCACCCATACTTGATCTTTCTTAAGTAAAATATTAACCAACAGACATGTTTCATGCATGCTTAGGTTGCCGTCAAATTGGAACGAATATTTTATCAAGTATTGATAGTTGAATGCAGCTACCATGAAAGTTTATGTGAAACTTCTCAGACATCTCTGGTTTAATCTATGAAAGTTGTAACTTGATGTTCAATTTTATCATGAACGGTTGAGTATGGAGCCCAAGAGTAAAAATTGTATTGACAGTCAGTTCACCAATATGATTGGTCATGTATTCTAGTAATTACAAAGTTCAAATCAGGGACAATTTTAACCAGGGAATATCAAAACTTGAAATCCAAAGATACTAAAACAACCCATAAAGGGTAGGAGTGGTGATATCACAGTTGATGTTGATTACTACAACAATAATCAATACATACAAGATACCAATGTAAAAGTTAACATTAAGAAATAAACAACTGTACAATATTCAAAGTCAAATTATTAGCATAAGATTAAAAATTTTTAATAAATAATCTAATCTACGTATGAAAGTGTTACATCTCAAACAAAAAAATCTGGCACATTTTAAATTTTGAGAATAAACTGTTAGATTTACCTTCATTAGGACTTACTTCAGTAATGGCCAATTAAAACTATGTTGTTGTCGGCCGAGGTTTCAGGATGAGTTTCCCAGTGTCGTCACATGACATGTTGAAATCGGTTAGAACCTGTCTAGTTCGAGTTGTGATGATAGAAGGAGCAATTACCCTCTTATGGATACCAAGAACGAAGAGGAAGACTGAAACCACAAATGAGTAAAAATTTTCAAAAACTAGCTGAAGACAAAATTACTTTCAGACAGGCGAGAAGAGCACATGCAAACTCTTAACAAAATGGTAAGGGAACAAGCCTGAGAGGAATGATGTGCTTTATGTTCAGACGCTCTTTCTTTTCTGTCAGACAGCTCCCACTGCTGACTGATCAAGTTGGTCGTGTCTTTTCTCTTAGAAACCAGTTGTAGCCCACGAAACAGGAAAAAACTGATAATATGATAATATTATGGAGATGCATAAACTTACCGAGAATGATGCTTGAAATAGTGAAGAAAGGATTATTAAATAAGGACTGCGTAAAAGATACTTCTGATGTATTAGGGTCTGTTAGCCAGTGCCATGCTCCCACTGCTGTGCAAATTGATACTACAGCAAGCAAAACTGAAAGAAAAATGATAGTTGTCGTTATTAGTTAGAAAATGCACACTACCCAACAAGAAATAGACAGAAAAAAAATACAAACTCACTTCTCCACCTGGTGGTTGATGGCTGAAGACATGATATGACTTCCGTGAGCCGTCTCTCAAAAGCTTTCAAGTCTGTTAACAAACCAAAACATAAATTGTCTGAACACAATTTACAGGGAAAATAGAAGACAAGGTTTTAAAACACCCTTATATTAATAACATAATTCTTTTTAAATCTAATTTCAGGGAAGGAACATTTGTGCTTTAGTTTTTTTAAGTTTGGAAAATAATCAATTGCAAATGACAAGCTCTCAAACTTGAAAAGTGTTCACTACAGATTGAAGGTTATATTCTGTGAATGAGTAAAGTTTCCTATCACTTGCGGGCTGCCGATAGAAATTCATTTATCATAATGAAGAGAAAACAATACCTTCACAAGCTGTTTGTTCCAAAGACATCATGAATATGCCGTCGAGCAGCGAAAACAAATGTTTTTAAAGGTGCCGTGCCGTGCCGTGCCTGCCTGCCAGCCTCTGCAGTCTGGTCTGCAAATAATGTCTTAACTTTCTGCTTCTGCTGCTGATACGGGGGACGGCGACGGCACGGTGGTGTGTTTGCCGGTTGAAATCTGAAACAAAAACGAAAGAACAGTTCATTAAACTACATATTTGAAGAAAAGAATCACCTGAAACACAAGCAATCTGTTATTCCCTTTGAGGAACTTTGCAAGGAGAAAAGATTATTATTAGTATCTGCCTCTTACATATTTTTAGTCATGTTAAAGGTAGGTAATGTTGTTTATAACCAACAATTGTGACTGCTATTTCTGCAATTATTCCTAACAAAAAATTTCTAGAACATGGTAGTTGTTGTCACCGGAGCAGTAAATGGATTGGGTCGCCAGACACTTGCCCACTTTTGTCAGGAAAACGCCAATGTATTTGGTTGTGACATCCGTGATGATGATGGTGAGCTAGAGAAAATATTTGGTGATAAAGTCGGGTTTTTGAAAGCAGATGTAAGTTGGTTTACCCTAATTGAGAGTTTACAAACTCTTAAAACCCTCTTCGTTGGCTGAGAGTTAATCCTTGTTTAGGTTCGCAAAGAGAAGGATATGGAACAAGTTTTCAAAAGAGCCAAGGAGAAATTTGGGCGGCTTGATGTGCTGGTGAACTGTGCTGGATATGCTGCTTCACATATAACACTAACCAGTGGTGGACTACCATTTAAGTTGGAACACTTCTCACGGCTATTAGAGGTATGATTCGTCCTTAGTTCCAAATTGTTTAAAGCCTTTCCCAACAATTGTTGAATACATTTTAAATCATTCACAGGTGAATGTTTGCGGTCAATTTAACGCAAGTCGCCTGGCGGCTAAAGAGATGGCTACAAATGATTTAGATGAAGATGGTAGCAGAGGAGTTATTATTCTTACATCAGGATTTGCAGGGAAAACAGCTCGAGGTGGTCAGGCAGGTATAAGTGCATGCTGTGGAGGAATTGAAAGTATGACACTCCCTATGTCAAGGGACTTAGGCTCTTTAGGAATAAGAGTGGCAACAATTTCACCAGGTCAGCCCTTGAGTATACAAATATTTCATTTGCTATTAAGTAATAAGGAAACCTGTTGTTACCATTTTTGTTATTTCAGGGCTGTTCTCAACTCCTCTTAACAGCAGTCTAAGTGATGAAGTTGAGGAGTTCCTTGTCCGGTGTCAGTCATTTCCACATCGCTTTGGAAAACCTGTTGAATATTCTGAATTAGCTCTCCACATAGTCCAAAACAAAATGATAAATGGAGATATCTTGTCAATTGACGGTGGTCTTGTCCTGCCCACTTACTAATTAACATGTCTCTTTACTTAGAATGGCACCATTTTTATTAGATTTTGTACTGTTTGGGGTCTCAAATGTAAATAATTAATATGTTATGTACTCAAATTGTCCTTTTTTATCTCCTTTATTTGATTACCTTCTTTATTAACATGTTTTCGTTTAACATACAAACGTCATACATTTTTATCAAGCAGCATTACAGATCCCAAATCTCTATTGACAAGGGTAGCTCATAAAACTAAAAGGCATTGGGAACTAGAGAGATAATGATTCAAGACGAGCAATCAAATCCATGTGTTTGAACTCAAGAGGCTTATTTGTAAACTGATCCATGATTTTCAACCGCTTCTCATCATCTTGGCCATAATACAGTTGGATTTGATTAGCTAGACATTGAGCTTCGGTAACATTTAATATATCTTTGTTAAATTCCCCTTTCATCAAAACTATCTGATTGGATTCCTTCAGATCAGTGAAGTGTGTAATTGTCATGCATTCTGGTGCATTCTCCTTGTGAGCTTGATAACTAATTAATGGTGTGAAATGAATTTCATTGGAAGCAAATTGACAGACAATAAATTCATAGCCTTCACTTCTGGGGAGAGGGAGAAGAAAAGTGGGGTAATCCAAACTGCGATTGTAAATTTTATCATAAATGTCAGCTGGAATGGTTGCTGCAATGACATCCTTTATTTTGTGGTATTCTTCCCAGATCTTCTTAATTTCATTGGTTGTCTTGTCATGCAAAAGATCAGTTTTCATCACCTCACTGAGCAGTTTGGGTTTGGTCAACCCACTAGCATGTCCTGATTTAGCAGGTGCAGGTGTAGAGAAATCTCTTTTCTTTTCTTTGGAACCTATGTCGCTTTTCGCCCTCTCTTTTTCAAACGCCTCTAAGCGAGAGAGTAACTCCTCTGGAGACGTCTTCTGAAGTGCTGCAATTTTCTTTGCATACTTTTCCAAGTATGGGTTCCCCTTCAGAGCGTCGACTGCTTCTTTTGCTCTTTGAGTTGGACTAGTCATGAGGAACCGATCACTTATTTTAAAATGAGACACCTCAACTTTGCCTTGTAGGGGAGCACTTGATCTCTTCAATAAGAACCTGAAGAACACTGACATATTCATGTAGTGATCGCTACATCTACCACTCTTTTCAGTAAAATATTCAACGTAAAGACGGACGACTAACCTCACCAGACTTGTTCCTGCAAATAATGCCCCAACGCAAATACAATGTGCGCCAACTTTGTAAAAAAAATAATGTTTAGTGTGTATAGTTGGTGTGTGCAGAGCTCCCAGATCGGGCGATTTTGCGCCCGCCGGGCGATTTTTGGTCTCTCCGGGCGATTTTTTTTGGCAAAATGCGCCCGGGCGATTTTCGGGCGATTTTATTTCTGTCGGGCGATTTTCGGGCGATTTAGTGAAAATTCCATTTTTTGAGGCGTTTTGGGGTGGTTTTTGATGTTTTCTCAGCCTATTTCACCCGTTTTCGATGTTAATGTGTGAAGTCCCGATGTAAGGCACGATACCGAAGCATAGTTACAAACTTTATGCAAACAATTAGTGACAAAACACCTTTGGACAATTTAGAATTCCCGGAAAATCCCGGGCGCCCGCCGGGCGATTTTGGAATACCCCGGGCGATTCCGGGCGATTTCATTGGCTGAGAGGCCTCGGTAGGCCTCGGGCGCACTCGGGCGATTCCTGCGCCCGAGTCGGGCGATTCGGGCTCGGCCGGATCTGGCAGCTCTGGGTGTGTGTATAGCTAGCAGACCACCTTCTTTTAACTCTGACGTACAAGAAGGTTAGGTTAGAGTTTGAAAGTATCGTCAAAATGGCACAATTATCGTGTATCACTCGACTACTACCGACTACCTCGTTAGAGAGTAGAAGAATTTTTGCTGCTGGAATATGTAGGCCCTCAGCGAGTTCTTTCGGCCTTTATCGTGGTGTGAAAACCGCTGCTACACCTGCTGAAGAACCGTCTACTGAAGAAAATAATAGACTGGAAGAAGAAGCAAGAATTCAGAAAATTAGAGACATTTCTGGCTTAAGGCCATCTCACAGAAACATTGCTCATCACATAGTTCCCATGGAAGAGAAAACTATGCCAATTCACTACACTGTTCGTTACAACAAGAGAATGTTTGGGCGCTATGGTTATGCATCAGGCGTTAGTCCTTCTCTATGCTGGCCAACAAAACAAGAACTTGATGACAAGAAAGAGTATGAGAGAGTAGCATACCCTTATACCATACTAGAAGTTGCGAAACGAGAAAAATTAAAGAAAGAAGAGAAAGAGCGAATACTATTTGAAAGGTAAAATAATCAATATTCCTGGCAACTCTTACTCTTCGATGCACTTTTAATTATAACGCCTCATACTTGTGAAGAGGGAGACTCTAGTCGTTCCCCTGTGAATGGAGAGGACTGGCCTCAAGCTGCAGCTCATGCGGCCCATGCTCATGCTAGTACACATTGGCTTCCTGTTAAGAAAAATAAGGTATCAGTACAATTTTGTTTCTTCTTTTGTTTGCAGAGATGCCAAGGTTGCTGCAAATGTTGAATCCATGCAAAAGTTAAAGGAAGAGTACTTACACAAGAAAGAAATAAAAAGACAAGAGGCAGAAGCTGCACAGGTACTTGTCTATAATTTGTTATTATTATTTTATCTTCAATAACCTCCTACTTGGGGAATAGTCTTACTTAAGTGTGTTCCAAATTTACACTTTTACAGGCATTCAGGACACGATTAATTGAAGAAGTACGGCTTCATTTCAATTATACTGTTAACGAACGAGATGAGCAATTTAAACTCGAGCTGAAAGAGAGAGCAAAGCAGCTACGGGAAAAGGGGAAACAAGAAAAGAAACTTCAGAAAAAGGAAAAGTTAGCCTTAGACAAGGCTGCAAGATTTGAAGAGCAGAAGAGAAGACTGAAGGAAGCAGAAGAAGCTATGAAGTTATCCAAACAAAGTGCAAAGGATGATTAGATATTAAAAAAAAAATGAGTATATGGTTTCTAGATGTCTTCTTTATGGAGTCATGCAGAATGTGTAAGTAATAATAGAAGGGTTCACTGTCTGTAAGTTGCTGTTCTGTTTATCTGTTGCCTATCAATTATGGGTGTACAGAGATAACAGAAGCAAGGGTTGAAAGTGATGTTTGCATTAAGTTAATAGCTCATTGACAGCTAACAAAATCACAAATACAGATTTGAAAAAAAATATGGTTGTTTTCAGAATATACAGACACACACATTAAAATTTTTTTTATTTAGACCAACTGATCTACAACTAAACAACACTTTTCCACTTAAGTTGTGAGTACACGTAGTGAACATTGCTGATGAAGTAGTTTGCAAATGATTGACAAAACAACAACAAAAAACGATTGAGAGAGAGAAGAAAAGTTGATCTTGTGGAAAATGTAAAATTAAGACAAGATTAGTCCAGCTACAGAACTAATACTTGACAGGATCTCATCACACATTGGTGACTGACTGCCATAATCTTGCGGGATTTACTTAAGTTAAGAGATTAAAACACTTAAATTCTTAATTGAAAAAACACACAGCTCTCAAGGAAAACATCTGAACTTGCAGGTTGAATTTCTAGTTCTAAAGTGCGCCAGTTGTTTATCCACCAAAATCTTACAGGTTTGGATTAAACATTTTAAGGCCAAGGAAGGAACCCGCTATTTAAGAATCATAAAAAAATGTAGTGGAACAATGCAAAAATCAAAATTGCATGAATGTTACACACAATTTTGAAATAACAACTTTAACTGTAAGATATCACTAGCAAAAGATCATTTTATAAATTCTTTTGTCTCCCTGATCAGTTAAGGTGTTATTGACAACTGAAAAAAATTTAAATGCTAGCATTGGACTGTGCACAAACAGTGGCTTAACTGACAAACCATAAAACACATGGACAGTTGTAATGTAACTCTAGTGAAGCAAGGTCAACTTTTCTCAGATCAAAAGTATGAAAGGAATGAAACTGGACAAAGCTAGGATTAAGATTCAAAAGATACTCTGCTTAATTTTAACACCCTATCAAAATCGTCGGCCACCAACATGATTCGAATTAGATGCCGGGTTACCATAGGCATTGAAGAGAGGGCCTGAGGGTAGACTGTTGGATGATGTAGTGATAGTTGATGAGTTTGAAGTAATAATGCTAGAAGATCCTACAAGCCGCTGTAGAAGATTTCCTTGCATCAGGCTATCCAATGCTTTCTGAACATTAGGGTCACTCAATATTGGTGTAGCTGAATCTGTTTGAGGCTTTGGGGGGTTCCATGAACCTGTAGACACTGGGGCCGGAGAAGATGCAGCTATGACAGATGCTAAACTTGATGCAGCTGAAATACCTGAAGAAACTGTGATAGGTAATGAAGGTGCAGGAACAGGAGCTGGTGGAGGAACAGACACAGTAGGTAAGGATGGCCCGCTTGTAGATGCTCCCTTTGCACTCAAAATACTCATTATTCGGTTTTGTAATTCTGCTTGTTTGTCAGCAGTTGGGGACTCTGCAAAGATAAAACAAATCAAGTATACATGCATTCATTACTAAAGGGAATAAAAATACTAATGCCAACAAATTGTAACACACCTCGAGATGCTACAGGTAGAGGAGTTGAATTTACTTCACTTTCGCCAAGCTCAATACGAACTTGAAGCTCTCGTTTACTAGTAAGATAAGCTATCACTTTATCATACTGAAGTACAGTCAGGGGACAATTATCAGCCAGCAACTTTAGAAGAGCCTACAAAATTTCCGAAAGAATTAAACAAAAGTACAATTTAATCACAATCCATTTATTTCAGTGCAAGGTCCCCTGGTGTATTTACGACCAATGCTAATGGGTTGTCTACTGCGCTTCACTGCACAAATGTTTCTTAACTAAGTCTAAATAATGCATTATTTTCAGTCAAACTATACCTGAATTGGATCTGGGTGTTTTTCCTGAACAAGAGTTGCAGGTCCAACTACAGGGATTGGGACCACAGGAACAGGAACAGGTCTTCCTGCAGCACTTCCTTTGTCATTTCTGTTGGACTGTTTATAGTCATCAAAGTTACGAGTTATAAGGCTGATAGCATCCTTTAATGGCATATTACGGTGAGCTGTAATACATAAAGTCTTCCATAAAAATACTATAAGAATCAAACTACTGCAGCTGGTACTGGTACAAACTTTACTGACCTTCTGGTGTACCATGAAGTATATTTACTGTAAGAGAGTCATGATCTTCATTTATTGGCTCAATCATAATTGCATAGAGCGTGCCACGACTGCTTATGTTCCCAAGAACACGGGACATTTGAACATCCTCATTTGGATATAATATATCCACAGTCAATCCTAATTTTTTCAGTTTTTCTTCAACAAATTCTGCATAGCGTCTGTAAGATAGTTAAATTAGGATTTTGTATATCATCTAGCAATGGCACAGAAAATAGCACATAAAATAACTAACAGTAAGCTTATATCAGTACACTATCAAAATCAGTTGTTGAAAACCAATCAATAACTTAAAAGAAGTGTAGTATTTTCACAACAAATGTTCTCTGTTTACATCACATACACTATTTTTCCAAAAAGTGTTTTATCTCAACAACTAACAACTATACATTTTGAAGTTTCCCTGCACACATTGTAATCTCTTAACATTATGTTGTAATTTAACACAATCCCACAATACTCGTTATAATTTAAGAATGCACTAATCTTTATTCTTCCTGTAACACTCTAGCAAATTGTTGGAAAGAAATTAATTTTTTTTGGAAATACCAATGAGAGTTGTTTGAAGAAACATCACATTACTCAGTAACAAAATGTTGTAAGCTTACAACAAATTTTCAGGCAGTGATTTATTAAAATTAGATCTGACTGGGTGGGAAAATCTTACGTTTGTTTTTTGTTGATGACAATTATTTCACAATCATTAGTTCTATCCATTCCTGGGGTTTGAATAGGAAGGCTGCGAGAATCTATGACTTCAGCTCGGTAAACAGGTGCACTGCAAAGAATCAAATAATAATTACCTATCAAGAAGAGATCCATCTCTAAGTAAATGTAATTTTAAAATGGTAAATAGATATTATTTCAACGAACTACATTGAGATTTACCTGAACCTTTCCGCTGGTCTGTCTCTGTAATCAATTTCACGATACCGATCTCTTGGAGTATCATAAAACCGATCCCTCTCAGTAGTTGCCTTGGGAAAAGTGTCAAAGCTGCAGGAGAGAGATATTGTTGACATCAGAAGACTTTACATGGGTATCAAAAGGCAAAGAGGATAAATCTGTAGAGGAGCTCTTACCGCTCACGCTCTCTTGGTCTCCAATCCCTATCATCACGTCGTTCCCTGGCTCTATCCTCCAAAGGCGAACGATCACGATAAGGTTCTCTATCCCTATCCTCTCTGTAGTCTCGATCCCTTTCCCTATCTCGGTCTCTCTCTCTTTCCCTGTCTCGATCATCCCAGTAACTATCTCGGTCTCTTTCATCCCTCAGGTCCCTACCAGCTTTATTGAAGACTCTGGCTTGTTTGACATCTACAACATAAAATAGTTATGTCAATTCAAAAACAACTAAAATAGAGTGTGAACATATCAGGAAGAACACTTACCAAGCCTCCTGCCTTTAAATATAATATCCGGCTCATTAATGGCTTCAATGGCACTTCGTTCATTTTCAAACTGTACAAATCCAAAACCTCGATTCAACAGCACTCCTACAACAAATGAATTAATGATTCGTGAGGTAGATGGATTAAGGTGTTTCAAACTGGTCAATGCCTGATTATAGTTAAGGCTAATTTACCAGTAACTTTCCCAAATCTGGAAAAGGCATCCTCTATGTCCTGACGATCAACATTTTCATGAGGAATACTCCCAACAAATATCCTAGAACTAGCAGTGGAAGGGTCTTTCATGTTTAGCCTCTCTTGAAATGTAGAGTCAACAGCAAAGCCGCTCATTTTATGATAAACTGATTATCTGCAGAAGAAAAAAAAAATAGGTTTAAACTGAAAAAAAGTCAGCACAAATTAACTAGACAAAATATCAGAACCTAAACATAACCTTGCCAAGATGTCTTCTGCAAATACTAACCAGATAGTGATAAATGCCTCTTAAAAAACACACATTTCTAAACATTAAGGGGATTTCCCCCGCTAGCTGCTTAAAATAGGAGCGGAACGGCACACAAACATACAAGAACGTCAACGACGAATGAACTGATGTCCTAGTGCAGCTGGTTACCGGTTACAAATATATGAGGTTGCCGTATGATGAAATACGTTTGAGATGTAACACGATAGCGTGAAAAATTGACCATAATTCATTCATTCAATTTTCTCACAGCGAAGAAGTTATTACGAAACGATAATCTGTTTTAAAAAGATTGTTGTTTACCAAAGTTTACCAGCCATAGGCTTGGCTTCAGCTCCTTCAGCCTGAGTCGAAGAGAGGAGAAGAGAATGTTGTGAGCAAAAGTGGGAAGGCTTAAGAAAATAGAGAAAATAACTAATGTTCTGTTTCGTTGGGATGGTAAAAAAAATAAGTCGAAAACTTAATGTTTGGCATCAATTCTATGCGTTTAATGCATTTTTATACATACCCCGGAACATTCTCAGTTTAATCTAATTTTTGAGTGGCAGTATTAGCAATGTTGGTCACCTGCTTCAATTATTCATTTATTTCCTTATTCGCAGAACAGCCTTTACTTTGAAGGGTGTGATAAATTCAAAATAATCACAACAAAGAATTACAGAATCAAGGCACGAAGCTTGAGGAAGTACCGCCTGAAGCTCGAATTAAGATAATAATAAAAATTAGACTTGGAGTTTTTTTCCATCTGTTTCGAAAGATAAAATTGGTAAATATGGTTTGTCAGATACATCTTTTTGGTTTTAAAATTAAACTAAAATAAAATAAGCAAGTTTTCATTCAATACCTGCATTCTGTTCTATGGTATTGTGAAACCTTCCTGCCCTTACTACTATATTATTTTCCAACTATCATCTGTTTTGAAGCGAACCATGGACAGCCCTGACGCTGCAGATGACTGTGGACGCCTCTCACTCTCACTTGTGTCTTATGGCACCGATGAAGAAGATGTCGACTCAATTACTGCAGTAGAGAATTCCTCTGACACTTTAATTCCTGATATTTTGACGGATTCAACTCAAAAAGTTGGTCACGTGGCTGTTACTACTTTTACTGATGAAGAGGATCTTATCTCGTCAATTGCTAGCCAGCTTGGTTTATCAGGTTCTCTTCATTTATTCATTATAACTGTCAAATCATTCCTTTCTTTAATATTTTGTTGTTAATTTTCTTTTTTCAATTTCACAGGTGTTACTAGTGAGAAATTGAAAGAAATTTCGTTTGCTCTGGAAAAAATGAAAATTTCTCAGCAAAAGTTCTTACAGTCAAAATTTATTTTGAGTGCAGTTTTAAATATTGCTAAGGCCCCGTCAAAACTGCCTCAACAGACTGTTCTTCGAATCAATCAGGTTATTAATCATATTAGCCTTATGGACTATGTGTCACCATCTGACTTAGATTCAACTGATGGCATGTTTGGGCTTTCACAAAATTATTTGGTAGAACATTTGCCAATTGAGCTTACAGCAGTTGATATTAAGAACATACAAGAAGCTGTAGCTGACGACATAGCTTTAAAATTCCAAAAACTGAAAGAGATGGACATCAAGTATTCTGGTTGGTATACTGCAGGGTGTCCCATTCAAGGCAGGACGTTCGCGCCTGAAGTTTAAATCAAAGTGCTTGTTGTTGGTGGTTTTAGAGTTGGCTGAGATTGGTACGTCATTCATCATCCTTACCATTGCGACGCGCTGCTTTGTTTCTATCCAAACTGTGCTGAGTCTAGAAACACAGTTTAGTAGTCCATAGCAGATACTGAAATTAGTGGCACAAAAATCCCGTCGTGAATGGGGCTCCCTGTATCGTTAACTGCGTTCTGATTTTTGATGCATCTTATTCATATGTTGATTATAACATTTTCCCCTTTGCAGATATCATGTCAAAGTTCTCTGGGTCCGGAAGTTTTGTGAACAGTAATTGTATTGAGCAAAACAGCACTCAGGAATTATTGTCTCTTCGTCAAGATCTTGATCATGAGATTTCTGTGAATGAGTCTTACCTAATGGAATCAGACAAGATTTTAACTTCTCTAGCTAAATTAAAAATTGAGGCCTTTGATTGCACGAGTAGCAATAAGGTGAAACACTTCAGTGAGAAGTCTGATGTACTGAAATCGGAAATCCAGTAAGTGTCTATTTCGGCATTATCAGCTTAAGGATCTTAACATCTTAACATATTAACAGTTGCATTTTCATTGTATTTAGCACTAAAGCCATGATTTTTAGTTATGAATGGGTTTAAATTTGTAAAAAAAAGCCGACCAGACCGTTTAGAAAGATCTGCTTTCGCTTCAGTTCGATGGAAAGCAGAGATCTGTGGTTTCGCCGGATCTTAACACAACTTTCAAGGAAACCATGAACCATGATTCTGTCGATCGTTGTAGCGATCCCGTATGTTTTGGTCGGCATTGTAGGGAATATAAAGACATTCAAATGTAAAACCAAAGTCATACTATCAGATATGATGCAAAATGCATGTGTCAATATGTTAACATGTTAAGATGTTAAGATCCTTAAGCTGATAAAGCCTTCATTTGTCAAGAATTATACAAGGGCTCAGATGACCAGAAATCTGTTTTTAAACCATTTAATGAGTTTGATACCCATTCCAGATCATTAAATAAACAAATTATTAATGGACTATATCATGAAGATCAACATCTGATTGATGCTTATACTCATTTGAAAAGAAATCTTGATTTGGCTGTCAATGAGGCAAAGTCACGGTTGGTGCATCTTCAAAAGAAAGATGCTGAGTATCAAAAGCTGCGAGGCACCCATTTTGATCGTCTTGTGAAAGAATACAATGACCTTAAATCTCAGATTGCTCAGAAGGAATATGCTTTAAATACGTTAGCTAGTTAATCATTAATGTAGGATTCAGTTAAATAGCTGTAAATTTTTATTTAAAAAAATAAATGCTTGTCTCATAGAAATAATTGCTAGCTGTGTTTAAACTTTCCTAAAATTTTCATAATCTTGTTATTAATTTGTTGAATGATAGAGATTTAACTATTTCCTAGCGGTTGCAGTAGTGCTTCGACAAGGATTTCAAGGATAAAACTAAAGCCAGATAGACTGTCTTTACAGTCCTACACTCGGTCTTCCTTTAGTGTGTGGAAGGGGGGGGGGGGTGCAGGGCCTGTCCAGATAGCGACGGCCGTAGGCCGTAGCGCCGTTAGCCGTCACGGCCGTACGGCCGTGACGGCGCCACTGGCAGCGCGCGTGGCGCGGTTTTTGAATAACATCCCATACAACTTAGTTTCCTTGATGATTAGCGAAAATTTAAACTTGTCGACACAGGCATAGCTAGTGTGGAGAGATAAAAGGTGGAAAAAATATCTGCAAGTAGTCGTCAAGTAGAAAAATACAAATTTTCTGATCTCATGTTGAATCTAACCCAACCTGGTCACCAACGCCTATCTTTCATCGAGCGTGTATACGCTGGTGCATAATACCTGATTTTTGTGATATCTGCGTAATCACATGGTAATCATATTTAGTTGTTCTGACGTTGCACTGCGTTGCAAAATGTTTATTAGACGATAACTGTCGAAGAAATCAAGTTGTTTTAGATGTTATATTCAAAAATCGCGCCGCGCGCCGCCGGTGGCGCCGTCGCGGCCGTACTGCCGTCACGGCCTGCGGCGCTACGGCCTACGGCCGTTGCTATCTGGACAGGCCCGCAGTTGCGGTGGTCGCAGTCGCGATGTTTTTGATTCCGAGCAGACGCCGCCCGCACGCACGCATCTTCTCTCGATCAGAAACACAGTTAACCTCACTTCACGCTACCTTTCATCTTGCTGTCTACGATGTTCGTTAACATTTGGCGGGGCTCATTGCCCTTAAGAACCTATTGGGCCACAGAACTTGCGAACACTTTTCAAGCAGTGTCCAATATTAGTCGTGGCAATGTCCGTCATTTCATGTTATGCGGTCATCACCCTATTCCGTCTCCCGCAATTCGTCTCGTAGCATCTAAAGTTACCCTAGGGGTTGCCAAAAGGTTTAGAAGTAAAGTTTCACATGCCTTGAAAGATCATTCGGAGATATCAGAGAACTTAACACAAATATTTGCCAAGCCTAGAGCACCGCGACGCAGGGGCAAATCTCAAGAACAAGGAGAAAAAGGCGTAAGAAATAGATCAAAAAAGTCTTCTTCCCTTCCAATGCAAACATTAAACAGTTAAACCTTATCTACGCTTCTCTTTTAGTACCCTGTCGTCGCTTTTAGTACAGCCGAAGAATTCAATTTAGATGCACTTAAGGTGGCCATCAGTAAACAAGAGTTGTATAGTGTAGTTGAAGAAAATGAAATGTTTAAAGGTATTTCTTAGCCTTCGAAATTGGAAGTAAAAATAATGTCAAGCTCAATATTTTTCAATTTTATTTTCCAGTTCAAGAATCAGAGCATCAAGGAGAGGATGTGGTCCATATTAAGGCAAGATACAATGTTGATTCTGAACCACGGGAAGTATTCTTCTTTCGTGACGGCACTGCTGTATTTTGGAATGTGTCAGATCTCGAAATATCAAATTTCTTACGTTTTATCAGACCATTTGAATCAGGTCGATATAATGAAAAGCTAGTCCTTGGTGAAAGAGAGATAATGTCATACAATCATGGTGAAAGGTCTGTTTGCTACACCAGGTACATTTTAACATATTACAAAATTTATATCAAAGTCACTAATCCATCTATCTTGTGACTATTCCTTGCAGTAAAAAGACCATATTACGCAATGATGTCATAGAGCTAGCATCCTCTGCTGACAGCAGTCTTGAAAAGTATACTTTTTCAAATGGTATTGCTTTATCTGTGAAACTTGGCATTTGGGAGGCCTCCCTAGAAAAGTTCATTGATTCCATTGAGTTTATCAGTGAGGTAAGTCGTTAGAGATAATGCAGCTACTAATCCGTTATAGTGCCTGTCTGTGCCCCTACATCTCTTATTTTTCTAGGACTTAAAAGCTGGGCGCAAGATTCGCATGACACGTGAAGAAGTGTTAAGAAAACATGGAGAGCTATTTGCACTAAGGCATTTATTAAATCTGAGCTCTGATTTCTTGGATACACCCGACTTTTATTGGGATAACGAAGAGCTTGAGAGGCTTTATTTGCAAACTATAAATTATTTTTGTATCAGTCGTCGTACAAGAGTAAGTTTCAATGTTCTCATATTTGTACCCCTTGCATGTGAGTTTCAGATTTCTCTCAATATATATTTTTATCTTATTTCCAGGTCATGAATGAAAAAATAAGTCACTGCGCTGGGCTAGTAGAGTTGGTTTCCAGTCATCTAAGTGATAAGCATCATATTCGCTTAGAATGGATGATTATTGTTCTTATTATGGTTGAAGTTGGTTTTGAGTTCCTTCATTATGTGGATCCAAAGTAACTCTATTGTCTCAGTGCAAATTCTGTAAAAATGTTCAGTATTTGCTTTCAATTATGTGGTTTATGTGATTTATATTCATAGAAAATACTACTAGTTAGTGAATTAATTATTATAGTTTAAAAAACAGGATAAATACAGGACAATCCAGAATTCTAAAGATGCTCTCCATTTTTCTATATCGCACACACACTAGAAAAATACATAAAATATGTGGATTCTTTTATTAGATTACATTTTTTAAGTCTTATGCCTGCAATGAGGAGAATTGTGAGTATTAAGTCAGTATTCCTATGCTAACAAGTGAAGATGGTGCTGAGACACTATGCAAAAAGTAAAATAATCTATACAATGGATAAAATAAATAATTATCAGTACATAAATCCTCACGACTAGTATCAGCCCTTATCAGTTACTTAAGATGTATCTTATGAAACAATTTTCTATTGAACTACATAAACAAATCTTTTCTCAAAGTGCCACAACACATTTGGACTATAATTACTGTTGAGTAAGGTGAAATAAACCCTTCACTGGTACCTACAAATCTATTATATAGCTCATCAAACTTATAAAAACCATTATTGTTCTGATTGTTATTAAAAGCACAGCTTGTTTTCTGATATGTTGAGGAAATTTACGGGTCAGAGGTTTTGTTCTGCCAACGCCGTCGCCTTTTGTCTAACTTGTAGGTGTTGTCTGGAATACGTCGCCGGTTCTGTGGTTTTGCAGTACAGCTAAAAAAGATGGTTTTCTATAAAATTCTGAAAAGATAAACAATGACTGTTTTGACATTTCATTTAAAATAAATACTAACCTGCACGTATTTAGATCAAATTCAAGACCAGTTGTACAGCCTTCTGCAGGATAGGCTCGGCAGACACATCGGCAGTCAACATCATCCCATCTCTTATTGTTAAAACCTTTGCACTTCTGTCTTTCATCTTCATTCCCACACTTACAACTACATTCTTTGGGATTATATTCTTGAAGAGAGTTGCAATCCTTGATAAAGAATTTGATTGGAAGAAAAACTTGAGTTAAAAAAGAACTTTTATTCCCTTTAAAGTTCAATCAAGCCAAAATTTCTTACCTTTGCTTGTTTGATACAACCACAGCGACACTCCAAATGTTTTTCAACATGAACAATTTCTTTGTTGGTTTTCTTATCGGTCCACGAGTACTTTCTCACCTGAACATTGCATTCAAAATACTTTTATAGTAAAATAATCACATCACATCAGTGGGTCAAGGTATACATTGGACTTACCCTGAGGGGAACCAGCTCTGTTTTAGTGGGTTGACAAGACAAACGTCTATCGTCATAGCAGCATCCGCTACACCGTTCAATCTCTACACATCCAGGCAAATACATGTGTGAAATATGATCATCCGGTTTTAATGGTACAAGCTGCAATCTTGGCTGACATCTTGGCTGAGTGGGCTCTCTTACATCAGGGCCTGAATTATACGTAGAAATTGGTTAATTGCAGGTAAATTAGACTCAGGATATACATGTATAACAAACAATTAAACAAAACATGCAAGAAGGCATATACTGAAAGGAAAACAAGGATATTTGCAAAACCATATAGAATTATTAATGTTTTCGTTAATCAATAAAAATGCAATACTTTAAAAATAAAACAGCTATTGCTCAGCAAGGATTAGTTCTTAGTTGACTCTTGTTGGCTGCACAGCAAAACCTCAAGGCAAAAAAACTCGTCTCGTTTTAAGTTTGATTTGTAAAGAGCGGCGGTAAGGGAGGGCAATTTCCCCTTTAAAAACCAAAAGTTTCACAGCATCGATCATTCTTATTTCGTCGCCACGCAGGTGAATATACGGCAATAAATATTGAATTTAGTTATTCTTTAAATGTTTTTGACAAAAAAATATCCCCATCAATTTTAATTGGAAGAAAGATTGAGGGAAACAGCGATTTCTTCAGCAGTTTATGTTGTATAAACCGGCATTCTGCTGCTTTTGGCGCGCTTTGGATCTGTGTGTGTGTGTATGTGTGTGGGAGGTGTGTGTGTGTTGTGGTGGTGTGATGTAGAAAGTGAAGCCTGGCTTCGTACCGGAGAGTTCGATCTCAGTATTGATTTGAATAATCAAATCACCTATATTCGACTGATCCGGCGCCTATACAGCAGTCGGGGCATACGCCTAGTGATGACGCAGACTTGTCATTGAGCCTTTTCAGAAGCTAGACAGACGGGGACTATATAACCTCCTACCCTCAAGCCGCTATACTTTGCCGGCCTGTTTTTTTCGACTGTGTATTGTCTTCTTCTAAAAAAGTAAGTTTTAATCATTTGAATCATCATCCTGTAGCTCCCGATGATACATAGTCTGAGTGACATATATTCTTTGTAGTTTTTATGTTATTCCACCTGTTGCTACAGGTGAGATCAAGGCATGGCTATGTTTCGCGTCCATTTGTTTTGGTCAATTCGAGCCTATAATAAATTTCTGTGAATTTCATACGCATCGGTTTAATTCGATAGTTAGTCAACGTTTGTCTATCAGCAGGACGTACTCCTTTAAGAACTGCAGTGAATCAAATCATTGGGATAGTAAGGAACTTGATAATAATGACTTTTAACTTCACAGCTACGTAAAAGTTATTTTTTCCCTCTTGTTAAAGGATTTCTAATTTTATAGTTAAGTTGATATGGACCTGTGCTCTTATCTGGTATGTGAGGTTATTCAGCTTTATGCTTGCTCAAGCTGGCGGTCGTGCTTTTTCTTGGCTTTGCACACTGTCCACTCACAACTCACTGTGTAAACTTTGTCGCTGCATTATTGGAGTTTGAGCTCCAGACCTATGACCATGGGTTAAGGCCAGAGTTCGAGGTCGGCTAGGTTTCTTACCTCGTGCTTGTCCTTGGGGTTCACCACCAAATCTACCTGCAAAACGCAACAAGATGAGATTAATGTTTTGTTTTTTTTTGTTTGCTTTCAGAAATGGCTGGCAACTCCATGGCAATGGATGTGGAGACATCCAGCTCACCCAGTAATGATATGGTCATGAGATTTAGCAGAATAATGAATACAAGAAGCCAGCATCTTGCATCTCATCATTTCTCTGAAAATGTAGTACTTGACTGGTTTGGCCGCACAATTGCAGGAAAGGAAAACGTGCTTAAATTTTTGTTTCAAGAAGTTCATTTATCCAACCATGATATTATAGAAGTTAAGAAAACTGAGGACAATACTCAAAAGAGGTTTGCTCTTCAGAGAGCTATAAATAGGTACCGTCAACCCTCATGTGAAACAGATGATGACTTTGACGTTCATAATGACTCTGGTATCTTTGAGGGGTGTGATACAAGCTTCAGCAGCAGCGGTAGTCTTACTCCAATCTCCAAAATTACATCTGACTTATCCAGAAGCTATGTCTCAAGAAGCATGGAAGATACTTTGGATTTCTACAGTCCTATAATGCGGACACCCATCACTACCAGAGCCCCAAAGGCACCAAATGCTGTTAAACGTCAAACTGCATCCATGGTTCTGAAGAGGTATGTATATATTTATTTATTTTTATTATATTTTATTCGTTGCAATTGTTGTAGTTTGCTAATGTTTGTTTTATCCATATTTTGCAGCCTCAAGCAATTGGAGTTTCCTAAGAATCTCAACTTTGTAGATGCAGCTGGGGTCATTTCTTTCTGCCCAGAAGATGATATTTACACTTCAGGTAGAAACTATTCAAAGCACTGTCATTTACAATTAGGCTATTTCAATCAGACATCAGTACAGTCTACAACATTTGCTTTCATCCTGTATAATAATGAAATGCCCTGCCGACGTAATCTCTCACGTATATTTGATGCATGCGATTGTAACTGATCTATGTTTTAATCACTAAGTCAAATTAAGTAACCCAACCAAAAACAAATCACTTAGATTAAAAAGGTTAAGTTTGACTTTGCTATGAAGCTCTACTAAATTTTTTGTTTAAAATTTAGCATGACATATTTGAAAGCTTTATTTATAGTTTAGTAACAAATAAAATCATTTTTTTTGTTGTACTTCTCATGCAAATTAGTGTTTGTTCTTTCAAATCTTGAATCTTATGTGATTGACAATGCATGATGTCATTTAAAGTTACCTTATGAATAAATGTTTCTCTTTGTAAATTGCATACTTTATTTTTCCTTATGCCTCTGTAACATTAGCTGAAGTTACTCACCGGCTAGCTGAGAGAAAGATGCTCTGGCGATTACTGGAGTTTCTATATCATGACTTTGGTTGGAGAGCATACGAACTACATCATCAACTGTGTCTAAATTGTTAAGTCTTTCAATCTGCTCCAGCGTCAACTGCAAAAAGAAGAGAGAGAAATTATACCCTTGTCATCGGTATAGTCACCCCACAATTACTTCACTGTTCAGAAAAGGTCATGTGATGGGCCCAAACTCCTAAGCCAATCAGAAGCCTCCTAGGCCACAATCCGAACAGCGAAGTAATATTGGGACGACTATATGTGACCAACTACATCAACAGATCTGGCTCAAGCATTGCCACTGTGGAGTCTTATTTGGAACTTCCCCTGGGCTTTGGCAGAGCTTTCACAGCCTGCCATGTGTTGCACTCTGTATACATTCTACCCCCACCCACAATCTGGTGCTTGCCGCAGAAACTGCGTCATGGGGTGAGTGCATGCATGCCTGCTGCAGGGTTTGCGCGCGCGAAGCGGTGAACGCAATGGCCTACTTGTAAACATCGCGGCCCGCGATGCAATTTACCCTACCTACACCTTCTGTTGGTCGCTGAATTTAATTTGTTTTCCTTCCCAGGCAGCCTGCAGGATCGTTGAGAGAACCAGGCCACAAAATGCCTCCAATTTTTTTCGTCTTTTTCGATGCAGGCGGCCATTGGCAGAAAAAGAGAGGAGGGATCCCCAGTGAGCAATGAAATATCAGACTGATGGCGATATCAGTTGTGAGAAACGTGGCAATTTCAGGACCACATTTTTATCAGTCTGATGTGAAAAACGACAAATTTTTGATGTCTGACGTACTTTTGGTATCGGTCTGATATTGAATTGCTCACTGGGAAGGGGAGGGGAG